CAATGACAGCTTTATCACAGGGCCAATATAGCGTCCAATGAGTGCTATCGCACGCCTCATCTTCGCCATAGGCCGTTGCTGCGCAAACGTCTACTCGTTATTGGCCCCCGTTTATATGCATCAGCTTCAGGTATTGTGTTGTGTTTTAAATCAGCCAATCAGAAATGTGCGTGCGCACGTGCATGCCCGATTTGCACACTTTTGTAGGCCATTGGTCAGTACCGGCTGAAGGTTCAGGGTGTATCAACCGCATGTGGAAACCATATTTGTGTTTGTGCGACGCAGTACTTCTGCTACTGGGTTTTCAAGACAAACACCCATGACTCATCTTTCGGTGGCGGAAGCCACTGCAAGATTCCTCCCTTCGCTAGTTCGACAGCGTTTATGCAGCACACTTTCACGTGCTTGTTAAACGGGTCATTTAACGGGCAAATAGTGTATTGCTCGTCTGTTGTAAATTCGGTCACGTGACCAAACCATCATGTTCTGTATCTCGCAAGCAACAAAACACGTCATTGTGAACAAAAACCACTGCTGCTTGCGTTGAATTTTAAGACTCCTCAGTGTTGTGTCGTTCGGTCCAAACACACACTTTTTCTTGTCGTTCCAATGTAAATGCCAGGAACGGTAGTCACTCGAATGCAAATGACATCAACCACACTATCTACTTGCAGAATCCTCGTCCTCAGGAGAATTTTAATAAACGTGGCATAGTTTTGTGACTCCATTTTGTTTCATTTCTTCCCTTTCGTAACCATTTGTCGCAATGAGGTCATGAGTGTTCTTTTTGGTTGAAATATGCACTACTTCCTAATAACACTCATTAGAAAATCCACACATAGTACGTCCGTTTTAAAAGGAACTACCAAAAACCCTCATTCAGCCACCAAAATGTGCTCGAACTTGTACATTCGAATATTGTACACGTAGTGAATCATCGTTTGGTGCATCAGTGTTATGCTTCTCAATATGTTATCAGAGAATGTCATTTTCAGGTGAGTTACCTACTGTGTGATGTGGTGAGGCAATTAGACTGGAATGGCGGGCAATTAATCAAAAGTGAATGAAGACATCTGTGAGGTTTACGTGACTTTGTTTGGAATCACCAGGCTGGAGAGCTTTAAGTTGTCATTCACCTGAATCACCGGATGAACCGGCAATACTGAACTGCGCTGGATAGAGCCAGGGCTCACCGAGGAACAGATGTTGGCTATTGAAGACATAAATCTTTAATGCGTAAACCCAACTTGGTACTTGATCTTTAATGCGTAAACCCAACTTGGTACTTGATCTCAAATGTAATGCCGTCTTGTACATTGCGACTATGGTTGAGTCGGTCAACTTCTAGAGGTGGGGTCAGAGGTTATGACGTTCTGGTTGAGCAACACCAGCATCAGCAACAAATCGCAGACCTGCCACACCAGGTCACCGTTTTCGTCGTCGTTCAAAGCATCACACAACTTCGCCAGTGTGTTGCGGGGACATTCAAAGTGGCGATAGTGATCATTGCCAGACGAGCGTTTACCTTTCCCTAACGAATTTTGCTTGAATACTCAGGTGCAAAACAATTATTGTAGGAATGAATGCAGTGGTGCACAGCTTTTGAAGGAAATGTCCTGCTATTTCGCCACAAATACAATGGTTTGGTTTTTCAAAGAATACTTTTTAACAAATCCGTGTCTCTAGCATTTTGGATGTGAACACATGCATGTCTGGGAAAACAAGTAGATGTACGTAGATCTAGCTGCTCGGAACATCGGACCCCTCTTTACGAGTAGTGCTGTTGAAATTGATTGTAAGCATTACGTACGGAACGACTACGTCCAGTTTGTGTATGCGTCAACATTTGCAGTCGCTATTCTCTATGAAAATCTCGATCCAATTTTTGTGGAGGTCTTTAATGCCTAGTATTGATTTCTGACTGCTGTATACACCTTTGCCAATGTCAACAATCGAAAGCTGATTAACCAGTTCAGTCAATTATACATGATCGAAATGTCACTTCAATTGGCGGAATTTCATCAGATTTTGTTGCAAACACCTTGAAACACCTTGAGTGAATACTGAGGAAGTGGAGTCGTAGATTACGAGGTTTAAAAAAATGTACAATCAGGATTATTGGGAATATGAAGCAGGACATCCTGTGGCATGGGTCACTTGCGACAAACCTGCTTACTTCAGGAATACGAGATCGATTTTATGCTCCAGACAACACTGTGTTCAGGGTGTGTTGAAGACGAGGATTAAATTGGAAAGCGATTGACGTTGATCAACGAGAAAGCAATTGAGAAAATTCTACCAAACTTCCGTGGATGAAATAGTTTGTTCCAGCAACTGTGACGGTATTTGTAAGTTACCAATACTCCGCCCCTTACAATCCGTATGAATTCATTTAACATGGCCTCTACTTTTTTGCATTCATTAACAAATTTGAATAAATAGCTCATTTCTCGATACGATGAGATACGGTAGCGAACTGACAACAAATGGGCATTTATTAGGATTTTCTTGATGAAATATTGGACCTGTGATTAAGCTCTTCTTGTTTGCCTTAATCGTGGTTGATTTCAGATATTTATTCTATGAATATCGTGTGAAAATAGAGGTGATCGCATTTCTGTCGTCAACATTTACGACTGCTAGTCTTGACGGAAGTTCTCGAGATTGCGAGAATGGCAGTTAGTGGTTCCATCCTTCCGAGTCCGGAATTTTGGAATTCGAGAGACCAGATCAGGTGAGTGAATTGTGGGTGAGATGGCGTGATTCGATCTTGAAAGGGAACATCCACTGAACAGCTGGTGCGTGTTCCTGCAAGACCACTCAAGTATGTCGTTGATTAATTTGACATTAGTGCTGTAAATGAACCAGTCTGAAGCAAATGATGTGGATTATTTAAGCCGGTCTTTTGTGCTTCAGCATAGACCGTTTTGGCACAATACAACGCGAAGCTCCCAAAGAGGTAAGACGATGAAATAGAGGGAGGCTCAGCCGTGTATTAAGTGTGTAACGGGCCCCAGTATGGTTTTGGAAACCACACCAGGGCCGAGAATGTGCGTTAACACGGCCTAACCGAAAGAAGGATTGCAAAAAATGCGGATGACGAGTAGATCAACCAATTTATTAAAGTAGCAGCATCGTGTGTGTGTCTGTACAGGATACCAGGTGCGTTTACATGGCTCTGCTACGCATCGATCTCTGAACAAACGGAGCTACGTGAAGTGCATTCACGAAAAGTCGATTGAGTCGATTGCGTTTGCTCACGACTGCTTGCTACTCACCACAGATGCCTCAACCCAGATGCGTGTGTGAGTGCGTTCTCTCGTATTAGTGCATGCTTAGTGTAGTTATTGATCACTAGTGTGTGTGTGTGTGGGAATTGTCAGAAGAGTGGCATAGGTAACAAAGGAAGGTTCACGCACACAATTTTTTGATAGCAGATTGTCCCGCACAGGTGAGATAGGGGCTGTGCGTCGTCGACTGAACCAACCAGATTACTGAACGCGAATCAATTGGATTCACCACAAATCAAAAAGTGTTTACGTGATATTGGATGTTATGTATTATAGCATACTGATTGTATACTTGCTGAAAGACCAGATGGCAAAGTTATTATGTGAACACATTGTGGGACGTGGGTAGCCATTTCCAAAGCTTTGGAGTTCACTCAGAATGTCCGAGTAGGACTTAGTTGAGAGTGTGGTGAATCGTATCGATTCACGCCCATAAGGCGGATGCTCTAGTCTGCGACACCCTGTCCTCCACGCACTGCTCTCACACACTTTGGTGTGTGTACACCTCCCCAACAATCTCTTAATCTCTTCTGACCGTTCAGATATTTGCACATTAGCGTATTCGCCAACACCAATGCTCAATATTTAGATTAGGCATAAACTACCGTCAGCGCACGCCATCTCTGGTCTTCGACTTGTCGTTTTGGGTAAGTGAGTAACGTAAAGCGACCAAATTCAGCTCAGCAGCTCCGGTGTGATACAAGAACACAGGCTTGGAACCACAACAAGAGTACCTAGAGAACACGTTCTAGAGTTCGCGAATTTGCAGGTATACCAATTGAAACCCGGTAAGGCAAATCCACTCAAGTGAAATCACAATAATAAGCGCAGGAATTCTGCGTGTTTTTTTTACCTGTGTCATCCTTCGGAGTGTGAATAGCACTGACCTGTTGTGGGAAGAAGACTGGTTATCTGTCAGTCAGTATTATTGACACACCAGCGACCCACAAGTTGTGTTGCGTGTTGTGTGTTTTGTTAGTTCTGTCTCAGGCCTCGGAATGAGGTCTCAAGCCACCCCGAGACCGCTGTGTGGAAAAGCCAAGGAGAAGACCAGACATGGCAGCGACGCGACTGCTTACTAGACAGTTCAACCTAGTTGTGCTGTCGGGTGTGTGTACTCAAAGTAGGCCATAACTGACGTGGTTGGTGACCAATGGAATCAGCGTGATCTAGTTAAACTACACAACTGTCTGATT